CCCGCAGCCCCGCCTGACCTCCAGGAGCCCAGAAGAGTCCAGCACAGGGCCTCCTCCCTGCACGCCGGGCTGCCCCCAGCGCCCCAGGTCTGCGGTCTGCACCCCGAGTGCCAGGGCTGAGGCCGGAATGTGAGCGTGGCCCAGGCCCACCTGGACCCAAGTGCAGCATCCAGAGCGGCCATCCCAGCCAGACCAGCGGCTCCGCGAAAGAGGTGAGGCGGACGGGAAGGGCCCCGGTGGTGCAGGCAGGCCCGGGGCTCCTGGTGCCCAGGGAGGGCATACAGAGAAACAGCTGGCCCGCCCCTCCCCAGGCCGGGTCAAACTGGGGCCGCATAGAGCTCCCCAGCTCTGTAGCTCTCCCAGCCACCCACACATGTAGTGCAGGCCGCTGGCTACTTCTGCTGCCAGGGGAGGGCTCACTTGCTACCTGCTGGCCCCGTGCCGCGGGCTCTGTCCCAGGGTGGGTGGACCCAAGGTGCAATGGAGGGGTCTCTCAGGAGTCACCTGCTGCCCACCTTCCGGGCCCTGCTGTCCTTGGACGTGGGTCTTGCTTTGAGCCCCTCTGAGTTCTGCCCAGAGGGGGCAGCAGCGAGGCCGCGGGGAGCAGGACTTTGGTGGCCTCAGTGCTGGCGAGGACGACCCAGCCAAGGCCCCGCTCCCGCTGGCCTTTGGGCAGCCCCTGCTCGGCTTCCGGCTCAGCCCCAGGAGGGCAGTGAGTGCCAAGACGGATGGGAGCAGCTGGCGGGGATCCCCAGGCCTGGACCCCTAAGGTCTGCCAGGGCTGGGCCAGCTGGGGGGCAGGGTCCTGTCCTGTCTCCCCATCCCCAGAGGCCAAGAGGGAGGACTCCAGCCTCCCCAAACACAAACCCTGGCAACCTGGAGCGGCGGCAGCGCCCTGGGCAGGGCAGGGAAGCCCCAATTCATTAACAAGATGGAAAATGACACTTCCCCGTGCGCTTCCCCAGGAGAGGGGCTGATTTATGACGGCTCCGGGCCGGGACATTCGTCAGCGCCGCGTGGTGCGCGCCGTCTGCGGGGGCATTAATAGTGTGTTATTAGCCACCAGCGTGAAAGATGCCCTGCGGATGGGCTATTTGCTGTTATTTATTGTGGAGGTGCCAGCCCAGCAGCGGGGCGGCTGGAGCCTGAGCTTGGCCCCTGCCCGACTGCCTCCCTGATGCTTGGCGCCCTTCTCCTCCCAGCCCCGTCAAAGGGTTGGGGCGGGGGGGCGTCATCCCTGAGGCTGAGGCCAGGACGGGAGGGGGCAGCTGGCTATGGTCCCCCAGGCCTGTACCCCAAATACTTATGGAGAACCTGTTCCATGCCCGGCTCTGCCTTGAAAATGGGCTGGGGAGCCGGTCGGACGTGGGCTGGTGGCTGGCCTTCCGGTTGTGAGCGGCGTGACCTTGGGCCCCTCCCTGAGTGCACTGCCCTCTGTGCACTGGAGGCCCAGGCTCCGCAGGATGTGGCCGGGGTTTGTGAAGGACAGGGGTGCAGCAGGCGCTCAGGCTGGCCACTCCCTGGTCTGACCCCAGAGGGCCAGAGGGGCTGACCCCCTGGGCGGGGGAGAGCAGCTCCCATGAGACCCTGCTTCAGCCGGACACTGTCCATCATCACCTCCCCCAGGAAAGGGCTTGAGAGGCGGTGCCAAGGCCGGAGGAGGAGGGCAGGGAGAGGGCTGTCCACAGCTGCTGGAGGGTTCTCTCTGCCCCGGACCCGTCCGTCCCCTCTCTGGGCTTCTGTGAACAGCCGATGATCTGCGAGAACTTCTCCCTCCCCAGCCCTGAGAGAGGGTTCCCCCTGTGCTATCTGTGGGAGTGAGAAGGAAGGGCCATCTCTAAGAAAAGGGGGACCTGCAATTGGGCAGTGCCAGGCTGGTCACCCCATATGAGAGGAGATGAGGGGACCGCAGGGGTCTGCCTTGGGTTTGCGCCCTCCCAGGGTGGGGCCTCCTAGCTGAGGGGCAGATAAGACACTGGGAGGGGAGAGCAATGGACATGGAGTCTAAGGCCTGGGCTTGTGTCGGCCTCTCCACCACGCGTTGCACAATTCAGACCAGGCCCTCTGCCTCTCGGGCCCCATGGTGGAGGCTCCGGGCTCTCTGTTACCGCCTGGTGTGGCCGATGGAGGGCCGGCCTCTCTCTTCTCTCCTACTGCCGGGTCCTGGGATTCAGATTCTAGGGCTTCCCATTTGGTGAATTCATTCATCCATCCATTCATCCATCCATGCATCCATCCATCCGTCCATCCATCCATCCGTCCGTCCATCCATCCAGCCGTCCGTCCATCCATCCAGCCGTCCGTCCATCCATCCAGCCGTCCGTCCATCCATCCAGCCGTCCGTCCATCCATCCAGCCGTCCGTCCATCCATCCAGCCGTCCGTCCATCCATCCAGCCGTCCGTCCATCCATCCAGCCGTCCGTCCATCCATCCAGCCGTCCGTCCATCCATCCAGCCGTCCGTCCATCCATCCAGCCGTCCGTCCATCCATCCAGCCGTCCGTCCATCCATCCAGCCGTCCGTCCATCCATCCAGCCGTCCGTCCATCCATCCAGCCGTCCGTCCATCCATCCATCCATCCATGCATTCATCCATTCACAGATGTTTATGGGCACCCCCTGGGCCAGGCTGTGGGCGAGGCTCATGGATAAGACAGAACGTGGTAGGAGTTTGCATTCTCGAGGCAGGGTTTGCATAGTCAGCTTGTCCTAGATACTAGGCGGGGGTGGGGGTGTCTCACCAGGACCAGGGCCTGCATGGTGAAGGTGCCCCAGCTCCCAGCCTCTGCCACATGATCGGCAGCATCGCCAGACATGGTCTTTCCGGGTCACCCGCTCCTCTCTCGGCCCCTGGCTGCCAGGATCCCAGCTGCTGAGGAGGCCGGCAGGGCAGGCCCAGGGGACCACTGCCCTGTTCTCTGGGGCTGTCCCAGCCCTGCAGGCGCTGCCCTCCCTCTTCCTTCCTCCCAGCCCCCCAGAATAAAGGACCTCGGGGCCCCCTCCTGTCTCTGAAATTCCCCAGCAGCTCCTTTTCCTTCCCAAAAGGAACTGAGCCTGAGTCCAGGCAGCTTTGCTAAAAATGCACACAGACGGAGGAAGTGTCAGGTGTGGAACCGCTTATTAAATGACGCCGGAGAGAAAGAGACAAAATTACACGTGTCTCCTTTCATCCCCCCTCCCCCTCCTGGCCCTGAACAGTGTCATATCGAACACTGTTATCAATATAATTAACCTCCTAAGACCCAATTTTAAAGTCTTATTTTTAAAAGCGATTTACATTCTCTGAAGTTCAGGACACCCCAGCCCCCGGCCCCGCCCAGGCGGCCTGCAAGGGGAGATGAGCTGGAGGTACTAGTACATTTTTAGTGGATTTGCATACCTGCCTGCAATTACCGCCAGTGATAACTACTGATGCATAATGCATGCAGCATGAAATTAGAAAAATAATTAACTTCAGGTTTTAAAAGAATCCCTACCCCCACCCCCGACGCATTACAAGTTCTCAATGGCACCAGTAGACAGATCAGGCGTGGAACTATGCAGTGTAGGGTGAGAAGGGCCTTGAGGGCCCTGGCATC